CAGCTGGTTTGCCCTGAAGGTGTCCTGGGTCAGGGTGTGGGTCCCGCTTGGATGCCTGGCCAGCCTTGGTGAGGGGCTGATGGCTGTTTGCAGCTGCTCACACCCCCTTCAGGTGGGGGTCCCCACTGGGGTGCCTGGCTAGCCTGGATGAGGGGCTGATGGCTGTTTTCAGGCTTCCTGCACCCCCTTCAGGGTGGGGGTCCCCACTGGGTTGCCTGGCCAGCCTGGATGAGGGGCTGAGGGCTGTTTTTAGGCAGGCCAAGCCTGCAACTGAAAGCTACCAGTCTCTCCTTTTTTTTTCTTTTTTTTTTATTCTGGGGATTTAATTACCTTCTGTACTTGAAACTTTGTTGCGGCTCCAGCTCTGAGGCCGGCTGGCTAAAAGCAGGTATCTGGGGTTTGTTTAGCTTCTATAATTGCAACATTGTTGCATCCGGAGCTCAGAGCTGGGCCGCGGCAGGTGGGGAACCAGGGGAAACCTTGGGCTTCCTCCATCGCTGGGGCAACCAAGCCTCATGTTCGCTTCAGCTGCGTGGCTGCCGGCCGCCATCTTGGTTGGCAGTTAATTTGCATATCACCCTGATTAGCCAATGGGAAGCATAGCAGAGGTATGGTTAATTACCATGTTTGTCTATTATTAGATAGGATTTTCTGCTTATCTCCTTTGCTTTTTATTCTTCGCTCTCTTTTTTTTCTTGCATCCTTTTGGATTATTTGAATATTTTTAGAATGAATTTAACTATTGAGTTTTTATTATCTTTAATGGTAGCTCTAGTGACCACAATATACATACTGTAGTTTGCATGGTCTACTTAGAATTAATATTTTACCACTTCAAGTGGAATGTAGAACCACTATTTAGTTCCCTCCCTCGTGTGTGTGTGTGTGTGTGTGTGTGTTATATTTTCATTGATTTCAGAGAGGAAAGGAGAGGGTGAGATAGAAACATCAATGATGAGAATCATTGACCGACTGCCTCTTGCACACCCCCTACTGGGGATCGTGCCTGAAACCCAAGCATGTGCCCTGACTGGGAATCGAACTGTGATCTCCTGCTTTATAGGTCGACGTGAAGTATGGTAGCAATCATCTCAGGTAGAAACTATAGTTTAACTTTAACCCTGCTGTTTGGTTTCTGTACTTATTGCTTGCTAAAATAATAGAAAAGTCATTTTGATTTTCTGAATTATATAAATTATCCCATTCGATTGAATACCCTATTGATTGTAATGTGAATATCCCATTGGTTGTGGTCATACTGGTTATCGAAGCACATTCTTCTGTACCTGGGAAGGACAGCACAATTATCCCAAGGTCAGAGGGCTCCAGATAACGTATCCCTGTTGACTCAGTGGTCCCAAGACCCGAGGGCTCTAGATAATGTGTTTCTGTCAACTCAGTGATCCCGAGACCCAAAACTATAATTTAGATAACATGCTTAAGTCTGTAAACTGCTTTTTGCAAACCAGGTTCCTCATTCCAAACCCTGGGGTGTAATCAATACCTTTGTGATCTTTGCCTATAAATCTGGAGTTGGGGCTGGGGAGGGCACTATGAGATCTGGGAGAGTGAAATGCCCCTCATAGTCCCAGATTTGCAACAAATGTGACTCTTTAATTCGACTTCTGGAGGCGTCCTTGTGTGATTCGCGGGGTACATTACAACAGACGCTTAACCACTGAGCCATGCCGGCAGGTGTAAATGTTTATTGAACACTCACAACAACTCTCCAGCCTCCCCCTCAGGTCTTGTGCCATCAACTCAGTTTCCACCCATCAACCAGCTGGGCCTTCTACCGCAGGCCTGGAAAATTCCTCTGCTGCTTCAAGAGCCTTCAGTGGCACCCCACTGCCCTTGGTAATGACCAAGCCCTATAGCCTGGTGTTCAAAGTCCTTTATGAAGTCAGCCTCCTCAGTCCCATCTTTCTCTTCCTCCCTCTCACCTTCAGCCCCTCCTCATACACCAAGTTCAAGCCATCCTGGAAGTCTTGCAGTCCCTCCAGCATTCCTGGGGTGCCCCTGGGCCAGATGGGCTGCTGCCTTGGCGTGGCAGGTTCCCCACTCCCACCCAAGTCCACGTTGATGAAACTCATTCATCCTCCTTCGCCCCTTGTCTTGGCTCCCCAGTTGCTGGGGTTACCCATCAAGCTCCCATCAGGATCAGGTGCAGGGTGAAGACCAAATTCATTCATTCACTCATTCACAACAATTTCTTGGGCACCTACTGTATACCAGCCCCTGATGTAGGAACAGAATACCACAGTGAGCAAGACAGATACATCTCTGGTCTTAAGGAGCGGACCTTGTTGGGCAGGGGTAACACTCATTTAATAAGCAAACCAATGGATATCATATACAATATATTTATAAGTGTTATTGAGGGAATAGAGCAGAGTAAGGGAAGAGAGTGTGATAGAGGGGGTCTGTTTTAGATATGTTATTGAAGCAAGTACCTTTGAGGAGGTGACATTTAAATACCTCCTCTAAATAAGGGAAGAGTACAAGTCACACAGATATCTGGAGAAAGG